TGTTCTGACTACTGCCTCTTGGTCCAAGTATAGGTTTCGTATTAGCACAATTAAATGTTCTGGGATTCCCATTCTTCTCAGAGTCAGCCACAGCTAATACAATGCACAAAAAAATATTTCATTAGATCCTTGACTGTCAGTTAAAAAATTGAAACCTTAAAGAAATCACTGCTAAAACCAATCTGCAGTTCCATCACCATGATGTAATGACAATTGAATGAACCTTGAGTATGTAGACTTTGATTCTCGGTCTACTTTGCCATTAAACCACTGAGCAGTATTGAGTATTGTCACATCAGCTCTCTAGTTCACAGGTTCCTCATCTCTGCAGTAAATGGAGGTAGTGACTGGGTGATACAAATGGTTACAGGCTCAACTACTAAAAGAAAGGTGAATGACCCTAACCCATCCAGAGACGTCAAAAGACAAGCTTGGGGCTCGGCTTTCAAAAGGCCAGGTTCTTGAAAACCCTGGGAGGAAGTTCTACTTGACACACGTGGAGTCACCATGAGTTAGAATCAACTCTGTGGCCATTAGTTTATTTTAAAAAAATGAATAAAATTGCAAATTTATAATTTTTCTGATCTTACAAATGTCTGTGCCCCCACACTGATGGAGACTGTGACTCCCTCATACTCTTTTGTTTTGTTACAGGTATGTCAAGACCCCACGCCATACGATCCAAGTAGACCACATTGAGTACATGGACGAGATAGCCAGCCTGGCGGGGGTAAAGCCCAACCTGCTGCTTCTCTTTCTCTCAGACCCAAAATTGGCCATGGAAGTTTTCTTTGGCCCATGTACGCCATACCAGTACCGCCTGCAGGGGCCAGGGAAGTGGGACGGGGCCCGGAGAGCCATCCTGACCCAGAGAGAGCGGATCATCAAGCCCCTGAGGACCCGCATTACCAGTGACAACAGTCACTGCTCCTCAGAGCCCTCTTGGATTAAGATGGCACCTGTTGGGTTGGCATTTCTTATTGCTGGCTTAGCCTACTTTAGATATATTCATTATGGTAAAAGGAAATAAATGAATGGGCATTAAGTGGGAAAAGCATGTAATAGTAATGTCTATTCATCTTGAATCATTATATCTTTTCTTTTAAAATCAACACCACAGATCCAATTGAAAAAAAAAAACCCTTACGGCACAGTGATTAAAGTACTTGCCTGATAACCAAAAGATAAACAGTTTGAATCCATTAGCTGCCACTTGGGAGAAAGAAGGAGCAATATGCTTCTGTAAAAAATATACAGTCTTGGAAACCCTACAGGGCAGTTCGAATGCATCCTAATCATATATAGTCACTGTAAGTCAGAGTCAATTTGACAGCAAGTGATTTTTCATTACTATTATAGAAAATATTATGTAGATATACTTTATAAATATGATAACCTGTGGTAAGAAGCTACTCTCCAATCTCAAAGGCACTCAGTTCGAATCTACCAGCCGCTCCATGGGAGAAAGGATGGGCAGTCTTCTCCTGTGCAATTAACTGCCTCTGAAAACCCACCAGAGTGTCAGCTATGGGTCTGTTCTAACCCAATGGTCCCCAACAACAAAGGAAAACTGTATAAATATATCTATTCCTTTAAAAATGGGAAAATGTTATGTGTATCTAAAAGTAGTGTGGTGAGTGTAGGGGCAGCTGTGTCCACCTCTACTAACTTCATAAGCCAAGAGAATCCTCATCAAGAGCACAAAGGCAATTTCTGTGAAATCAGACCTGTCTCCAAACCTCACACCTTCCAATGGTTCTAATGGAAATGGTTCCTCTCACAGCCCTCACTACTTCTCTGCTCTATTTGATAATTCTTTGCAGTGGTCCCACAGAACTCACAGAGAGTTCTGACACTATTAGGTTTGTTGTTGTTGTTATTGTGTGCTGCCTGCACTCATAGCAACCCTATGTACAGCAGCCCAAAACCCTGCTCTGTCCTGTGCCAATCTTATTGCCTCTGACACACCCACCCCCATTACCCCAGTCACAGAATCAATCTCTTCACCATCCATCATGATGCTACTAGTTGGCCCAGTGGTGAGAATGTTTGTTTTCTTGATATTGAGCCTCAATCCATATTGAAGGCTGCAACATTTTTTATCATGACTTTAATGATGAGAAGGTGAAAAATCAGGAAATTAGTACAGAACACTACAACAGGTGAGTTTGAGCGAATTCTTCACAAAATTAACTGACTATCTCAACATGCGGCACTCTCAGTTGATAGGAGTAGTGTGGTCAACCTAAAGTTAGGCGGTTCAAATTCACCAGGTGCTCTAAGAGAGAAAGATGAGTAATCTTCTCCTATGCAATTTACAGCCTCTGAAAACTTACTGAAGCGTCAGTTCTTAACTGGTTCTGACTTGAAGGAAATAGAGGTATTTGAGTTGATCAAGACCGTAAAAGGTTGTCTTAGTTTTATGCAGTATTTGCCTTTATGAGACAGAGTTAGTTTCACTCAGGTATTTGAGTTGATCAAGACCGTAAAAGGTTGTCTTAGTTTTATGCAGTATTTGCCTTTATGAGACAGAGTTAGTTTCACTCAGCTTAATGCCCTCCCGTCTCTCAAAAGTTATGTAGGATTTGTTTGTTTTTTACATTGTTGTTCCTAAGCCTTCAAATATTATTAGCCAGACAATTCCATTTCCTTTAGATCAAATCAACGCTGCTATATAAAGTCATTGAAAATAATTAAACACATAATGATAAAGTTTTACTCGGCTTTGGTGACTCTCCAATTCTGAAAACTTGTTTCTTTACTGTGAACACTAGCCATTCAGTATGTTGTTGTTGCTTGTTTGTATTTATGTTGTATGTTTAAAAGGAAGCATATTTTATGCTTAAGCAATATGTTCAAAAGTAACAATTTATTTCAGTGAAACCACAGGGTTATACAGTTTGGTGGGTAGAGGGAGTAGGTGAAGAAAATGGGAAGGATCTAGGGGGATCTGAAAATATTGGGAAATGATGGGCAAGGTCCAATGGTGATTGATTTTATAAAGCATAATGTATGGGAATGATTGTATGAATCACAAAGTGAATGAAGAATAGTGTAAAACACAATGGATATGAAATTTGTGAGCAAACCAAAATAAAATAAAATTTTTAAAAAGTAAAAAAAGCTGTCTTAGAAATTTATTCTGTTGTTGTTGTTGTTGTGTTGTTATGTGCTGTCGAGTCACCTGCGACCCATCATGACCCTATATACAGTAGCCCTGAACCTTGCCCTGTCCTGAGCCAGACTCACTAATTCTGACACACTAACCCCCGTTGCCCAAGGTACTGTATGAATCCATCTCATCTGAGGTCTTCCTCTCCTGTGCTGTCCTTCCACCCTTCTGAAAATTGACCCTATGAACAACAGATCTGAACCCTGCCCTAGCTTGTGGCATTCTCACAATCTCTGGTACACCCAAGACTATTGCTGCAGTCACTATCAAGCCACTTGGTTGAGAGTCTTCCTCTCCTTCTCCATCCTTCCACCTTTCCAAGCATAATGTCCTTCTCCAAGGAATAGCTTCCATTAGCAACATCTTTACCTCCAAGGAGCACTCTGGCTGCACCTTCAAGATATATCTGTTTGTGCTTTAGCAGTCCATGGATATTCATTACTCTTCTCCAACACCACAGTTCAAAGGCATCCGGTCTTCTTCTGTCATTGCCCAGCTCTCAGGTGCAAAGCAAGTGACTGGAAATATCATGACCTGAATCAGATGCACATTAGTCCTCAAACTAACATCATTGCTCCTCAGTAATTTGGGAAGAGTCTTACTGAAAACTTTCCCAGACTACACTAAAAGACCTGACAAACAAAGCATTCGTGTTTGTTATAGAGTCATTTAGCTATAATTTTATTCCATAATGAGGATTCTACTATTCACAGCTAACCCCTTTTTAAATTTTTATAACGTGCCATTTTTATAGCTGAACATCTGTACCAGTGGTTACCCACTTGAAGACAATATTATCAGTTAGGATAAGAACAGATACTTTCTGTGGGGCAGGCCTCAACTGCTCATATATAAGACAGAGAAGGGGCGGGGGGGGGCAAACACCACAAATGGCTTTAGGAGAGACTCTGAAAATCACACTAAAGTATTGCACACCCAAAACAAAGGGAGGAAATGCTAAAGTAAAAGAGATGGACAGAAGATTTCAAAGGGTAGCTCAAGAAGGCAAAGCAAACAGAAAGTACAATGCATCACTGTACTATTATAACAGAATGTACAAAGAGTTGACAAAAATTCTCACTACTGAATCAATAGACAACAGTATGATAGATGGAAAAAAGATTGATACTGTCAGTGATTTAGTCTTGCTTGGATCAACTATTAACATCCTTGGTACCAGCAGTGAAGACATCAGGAGTCATATTGGAGAAAGTCTTCAGTCAGGGACCTCGTCAAATTTCTGAGGAGTAATGAAGCCAGTTTGAGGACTAAGGTACACCTATGGTCTTTTCAATCACTACTATGTATCTGATAGTTGGACAATGAATAAGGATGACAGAAGAATCGATGTCTTGAGTTGTGGTGTTGGAGGATGGTATGGAATATCCCATATATTGCCAAAAGAACAAACAGATATGTCTTGGAGAGTGCTCATTGGAGGCAACGATGACAAAGTTGCATCTCATATACCATGGGTGTGTTGTTAGGAGAGGGACATTCTTCCTTAAAAGGTAAAGGGTCAATTAAAGTAAGGAAGACCCTCAACCAAGTGGATTGGCACACTGGTTCAAGTATGTCTAAAATAATATGGATTGCACAGCATCGGACAGGATTCAGATCTGTCGTTCACAGGGTCGCTATGAGTTGTACTTGGCTCAACAGCATCTAACCTCAAGAAAATAACAACCATATTATAATATTTTAAAAAAAACTTTTTAAATCTACTTCAATTAGCTACTATTTCAAACAAACTTATGTATAAATGGCATTTATAATGTTGATTCTAATATTATTTTTGGGTTTAGAGAAAAGCATATAGCACCACGTAAATAACTTTTAGAGCAGTTGGCAAATTTTTGTGGTTCTAATTAATACTTTCAGTTTGCTCGGCTCCACGGTCAACACTCTTGGCACCAGTAGCCAGGAAATCAAAAAACATATTGCGATGGGAAAGTCTGCTGTTAGGGACCTCTCTAAAGTACTCAGGAGCAACGGTGTCTCTCTGGAGACTAAGGTGCACCTGATACAGGCCATGGTCTTTGCAATCACTTGTTATGCATCAGAGAGTTGGACAATGACTAGGGAGGATAGAAGGAGAATTGATGCCTTTGAGCTGTGGTGCTGGAGAAGAGTATTGAATGTACCATGGACTGCCAAGAAAACAAACAGATTCATCCAAGAGAGGGTTAAACCAGGCTGCTCCTTGGAGGCAAGGATTCTGAGGCTTCGCCTGACATACTTTGGACATGTTGTAAGGAGATACAGGTCTTTAGAGAGGGACATTATGCTGGGTAGAGTAGAGGGACAGCACAGGAGGGGAAGACCCTCTATGAGGTGGATTGATTCAGTGACTGGGGTAATCGGGATGGGTGTGTCAGAGGCAATGAGATTGGCACAGGAGAGAGCACGGTTTAGGGCTGTTGTACATAGGGTCTCTGTGAGTCGCAAACGACTCGACGGCACATAACAACAACAACAATTAATACTTAGATGGAACCTCAGAATCCTTGCCTCCAATGAGCCACCCGGTTGAACCCTTTCCAGGACAAATCTGTTTGTTTTCCTAGCAGTCCATGGTATTCTCAATACTCTTCTCCAGCACCACAGCTCAAAGGCATCAATTCTCCTTCTATCCTCCTTGGTCATTGTCCAACTCTCTGATACATAACAAGTGATTGTGAAGACCATGGCTTGTATCAGAAGCACCTTAGTCTCCAGAGAGACACCATTGCTCTTCAGTACTTTGGAGAGGTCCCTAACAGCAGACTTTCCCATGGCAATGCACCTTTTAATTTCCTGGCTACTGTTGCCAAGAGTGTTGGCTGTGAAGCCAAGCAAACTAAAGTTGTGTACAATCT